GTGTCAAAGCATGGTCATCAGAGATCCAGAGTCCATGGGGGAGGACAGTGGGACCATGGAGTGTCAGAGCCCAAGCTGAACAATACAGTGACAGCCAGGAGTCTCAGTCACTCTTCAGATCAAAGCTCCTGAAGGCCATCAGAAACATGCCGGAAGGCTGCAAATGCGAGGCACGGGACTGTACCCCGGGCAGGGGACTAGAGACCTCCTGTTCCTGCCTCTTGTGTACTTTTGAGGTCGTCGTCACTGGACACCTGGGCCCTCCAGAGAAGCAGCCATGAGTGATATTTGACAGGAGGGGCTTACTGGGGCCCGATGCACATGCGCAGACACAGGCCCGAGTCAAGCCCCAAGTTACACCCGTATGGTTGCTGGGTGGGTGTCCTTTTAGGAGCACCTACCTATAGCTAGTCTCATGCATGCTTGCCTGCTTTTGTAGAGAGGCCATTGCCCTTAGTTTCCAGAAGTGAGGAGTAACCCTGGCAAAGGAGGGTCTCTGGTGACTCTCACGAAGCCTGTCTATAGGTGAGTGAGTGACTAGGTGTTAGGGCCCATGAGGTGATGTCATGGGCCTCGCTTTCACCCTGGAGTGGTCAAGTCCCGGAAGGGCTGCCTGGGCAAGCTTTGTGAAGGTGCCAGGGACCCCAAGGATTGGGCAGGACAGCGCGCGTGCTCCTGCAGAGACTAGGGACCTTCCACATGGCCCTTTCAGTCCCCTTCGGGTACTCCCCCCGATTCTGCACAGATCTATACTTCTACAAGTTGGAGCATTTCCAACGGGGAGCACAGATGTTCCGGGCACTTTGAGCTCCTCCTAGGTGAGTTGGGAGCTTGTGCATGCACAGCCGAAAGCTCCAAGCCAAGTATGCGTGATTACTTACGGGGTGGGCCTCAAGGCCGCCAGGCTCACAAAGGCAGATGTGGTTTTCCACAGAGGTATGCAACACTTTGTGGAAGTGAGGCATCCCTGCCACGCCCCTCCGGGGGGACCAAGAGGGGTCTCGGGATTGTGGTGAGCTGTGTCCCTGTAGGTGAGTGCCTAGGTATTAGGACCCAGGATAATACCTGAGGTGAAGTCGTCTGTCCCTCCGTCCGTCCGTCCCTCCCTCCCTCAGTCCCTCTGTCCATCCTCCCATCTGTCCCTTCCTCCTTCCGTCCGTCCCTCCCTCAGTCTGTCTGTCCATCCTCCCATCTGTCCCTCTGTCTGTCCCTCCCTCAGTCCCTCTGTCCATCCACCCATCTGTCCCTCCGTCCCTCCATCCCTCCCTCCCTCCTTCTGTCCGTCCCTCCCTCAGTCTGTGTGTCCATCCTCACATCTGTCCCTCCCTCCTTCCGTCCGTCCCTCCCTCAGTCTGTCTGTCCATCCTCCCATCTGTCCCTCGGTCCCTCCGTCCTGCCTTCCGTCCATCCTTCTGTCCGTCCGTCCTTCCGTCCGCAGCCCGAGTTCCACAGTGGAGTGGGGGAGGCCAGGAAGGGCCGCGTGGGAAAGCTTGCATAGGAAGCAGGGACGGAGAAGAGTGGGCAGGACAGCACGGCAAGTGTGCTCGCCGCAGGACTAGGCACCTGCCCCGTGGCGCTCTCTGAAGTCTTTGGGCACAGGAGACGTTTATCCGGGCCCACACGTGCACACTAGGACCAAGTAAAACAGGAGAGTGGGTGTTTCAGGTCCTCCCAGGCTTTGAAGTGCAACTTTCCCTCCGGGCGTGCGTGATCATCGCGGCTGGGCTTAGGCAAGGAAAGGGACCGCACAGGGGCTCGCGTGCGCCCCCGCTTCTCCGCGGCCCCTCCTATTTCCCGGAAGGAGGACCAACTAATGGGACCCCCTGGAGGGGGCAGCAGGCTTTGGGGCTGCGGTGCTGAGGCCTGTCCCTGTCCCTGTCCCTGTCCCTGTCCCTGTGGGAGAGTGACCAGGTATTAGGACCCAGGATATTCCCCGAGGTGATGGAGGTGATGGCTGGCTCCTAAGTTGCACACCGAGTGGCCCAGGAGCAAAGCCCACAAAGGCCTCGAGAGGGACTCGGGGACCGCGGCTGGCCCGCGCAGCATGTGGACTTGGGAAAGACTAGGGACCCCCCACAGGGCCCCTTCCGTGGTCTTCGGGTGCTTCAGACGTCCTCCCGGCCCCATGTGCACGGGTGGGCCTGTTTGAGAGAGGGGTATGGGGGCTCAGGCCCTCGCCAGCCTTAGTACAGTGGCTGCCCGGATGCGCATGCGCAACCCCCCCTGTCCAAAGCACGCTTGCGCCAGTGCCTCAGCAAGGAGGGGGCGTGGCCAGGGTCACACATGCGCAAAGTGGACTACTTCCGGAAGTGGGGTCTCAGCAGCCGTGACTGGTGACTGCGCTCGAGGCTGAGAGGGGTTTGCGGTGCCGGTGAGGATGCGGTGAGGCGTCCTCCCCCAGCTGAGCAACGAGGTATGTGCAGCCTCGGAAGTCCATGAGGGGACTTCCGGAGCCTGCGTTAGCTACCCACCGAATTGGGCAAGGCCGGGGGGGGGGGGGGAGGGGGTGCAGTCTGGGAAGGTGTGTCCGGGCCACGGGGGCTGAGAGGGAGGCGAGCGCAGGACCGCCCGTGTGCTGGAGAGTGAAATCCAGTGTCTTCCAGGCCCTGTTAGGGCAGCTCCCAGCTGGGACTTACACAACAGCACGTCCACGTCATTGGCTGGGTCACATCCCTCAGCACCCTGGAGCAGGTGCATGCTGCTCCACCTAGTCCGAATGGTTCCATTCAGGGAGGGGGGGCTACTCAGGTGGGACGACCGTCTGATGGGAAGAAGGCTCTCAGGGGACTGTGGTTGAAGCATGATCACCTGCCTAATCTGAGTGGGCCCCTGTTCTGAGGTTCTGGAGGTCACAAAATCAGAGTCGGCCTGGATCCACAGTGCTCGGTGGTGGCGCAGAATGGGATCACGGGGTGTCTGTCGGGGGCCTGCCTGGTTGAGGTTGAGGCGATTTCTGTAAACCTCCCTTCTGCAAGGGACTGGACAGAATCCCAGGCTCTGCGGGTATGAGAAGATAGATGTATGTGTTACAGAGTGAGGGATGGGGGAGAGCGTGGAAGGTGCCCATTGCCCCTGCATACTCTTTGGTCAACATTGGATGCATGTCCCCGCTTGTGATGTCTGCTGGGCGATTTCATGCATGGCAACTGCTGGGCCCCGAGCCAGGCACGTGTGGCCCTTGGACCCATCTGTTGCAGGAGCATCTCCTAGCCCCACCTCATGGGTTTCCATGATACTCTCTCTCAGGCCACATCTCAGGCCACTCACCTGTGCCACATCGGCCTTGGCCGAGGGTGGATGCTTGGCTCGCCACAGGCAAGTGTGCCTGCTTTGCCAGCCTCCCGTATGTAAACTTGCTGAGGGGGCCCTATACAGGAACAGAATGATGTGTATTCACCTGCTAGGTCCTCACATCTAGCCTGTATCACCTACCACCCGGCCAGACCAGGCCAGGAAGACACACACACACACACACACACACACACATACACACCAAACCCCCACCCCCCTACACACACATACACACACACACACACCACCACCACCACCACCACCACCACCACCACCTCATGTATGAGCAGCTCTACTCATGAGCCCACATGCTCAGGTCTTTCTCATGCATAAGTGCTGTCAGAAAGCATGCTTGTGGAGGCAGGCAGTGGCTGGGTGCTCCCTTCCTCTAAAGAGACTGAGGTTTCTGAGGGGAGGATCTCGGAATAGGATCGTCTTCGTGGCCGACTGGTTATTAGTGGGTGCTTCTATGAAGTCCGGTGTTAGGGAAACTGTTCCAGAACGTGTTCCCAGTACAAGAAGGAAAATCCACTTGAACAAGGCCTAGTTACTTACTGAGCAGGTGCTGGTTCAAAGTACTAGAGTCTGACCCTGGGGCAGTTTATGTTAGACACATTTAAGGACAGTACACTTTTGGAACAAAGTTTGCTGGTAACAGTTATCTCAGTCCCCTGCGCAGAATGAAGGTTGAGGCCTAAGTACATAGACACTCTCTTGCAATGTACATGTGACCTGTCCCATGAAGGTGGGTTCTGTATCTTAGGGACCTCGGATCTGCTGTGGCTTCAGCCATGCGGATAGCAGAGACAGTACACCAGGCTGCCACGTACATGGGGCATCTCCACAAAGGATGGGCTCTGTTGACTGAGAAACCAAACTAACGAGGAAGGCCTAGGGTGGGAGAGTCTGGGAGAAACATGATAATCTGGGAGATCCGAGTGTGGCCTGGCCCTGTAGGCAGCATAGATCACCAGGCCGTTAACGACATCCACTCCCCGCCTTCTGGTTGGAAAAGAGATGCACGCCTGTGTTCTGTTGAAGAGACAAGCCTGTGTGCTTAACATTCCTGGGGCCCACCGTGCTTGTCTGTGAGCACAAAGACCTCGTGCGCTCATACAGACTGTGTGTCACCTTGTGTGAGTATATTGGGCAATCTCTGGATTTGCCTCCTGCGTGTATTCCTTGGGCCTTTCCTAGATGTCTGGGTCCCTGAGTTGTTTCTGAGAGCGGGTCGGGATTTCACTTGAGTGTGCAGCAGGTGTGCCCAGACATGGTTCCAGGGCCCGCATTGGCTATCAGTGGGTTGGTGTTTGTGACAAGATGCAGGTATTGTGGCACTTGGCCTGGGGCTAGACCAAGCTTGCCCTATCCTGGGGACAAGCAATCAGCAGAAAGGGCTGAGATTGGGGGCTACGGGGTTGCGGAGAGCTCTGCGTTCTGCGTTCCGGGGTGGGGAGGGGGTTGGGTGTAAAAAAATAGAAAAGAAAAGAAAAAAGGGACAGAATGTGATTGGATGTGGCATTATGTACCGGTGCCATCCTCCTCCTGCCACCTCTCTGCCCCAGCAGGGTAGTGCCAGGGCACACGACCACAGGCTGTGGAGGCCTGGTCCCTGTTTCCATTGCTGTGGTGAAATTCTTCCCTGTGTCTTTACTGTACACACCAACATTCTAGGAGTCCGGCGGCCCAGCACAGTGAGGCCGCAAGCCATGTCAACCGAGGAACAGAAAGACATGAAGAGACGTGCCAAGCGCCCAAGGGTTGATCCGAATCTCTGTTCAGATGACTCCCAGAACCCAGATGCAATCGCACCTGGTAACAATGCACCTGATACGACGGGGCATATGTGGCTGGGCCTAACTGAGGGGACATTCTACTACTCTTTGGCAGGCGGTGCACATGGGTGGCGTGGTACTAACCAGTTCATTCCATGGGGTTACATGCATGGGTGGTGGGGGGCGGGTTTCTGGTGCTCAGATCTGATTCTCAAGCATGTTCTGGGTTTCTGTCCACACCTGATGTTCTCAGCCCGTGGCGGGAGTGCACGGCTCACAAGGGCCATTGGTCCTGGCCAGCAGGCCTCTGGAGAAGCCCATGGGTCACAGTGACTTTCCTTGGAAGGCTTTTACAAATATGTGTCCCCGCCGTCCCCAGACTCTGGCTGAACTGAATTTCACCTGTGTTGTTTGGGTGTGGGTGTGGGTGTGGGCACCGGTTCCCAGAAGATGACTTTAAAACTGCTGTTGTTGGCCATGGGCTCACCCAAGCCCAGAGTGAAGCTGTTTCCCATGTGGGTTGATGAGAGCAGCACACTTCATCCACAAAGGATTCCCCTTTCTTCTCAATGCAGCAAACAATCCAGCAGTTGATACCAGTGTGATGGCCAGCTGTTCCTCAGGATCAGATGTGCAAGAGGCCAGGTGATGTCTTACAGGAACTTTGGCCTGCCCCAGGAGGTAGTTTCAGTGTGGTTTTATGCAGTCATACAGAGAAAAGGATGTCCTTTGCTGGAAAATGGATCCAAATGGAGAGTTTGGTGTTGAGTGAAATGAGCCAGCACCAAAGAGAATACCGTCACCTGTTTTCTCTCATTTGAGGGTCCTAGATTATAAAGTAGGTCCATGAAATGGCAAAACCCAAACTGAGAAGGGAGCCTGGGGAGAGGTGGGCAATGCCCAATAGAGGGGAAAGATTGGGGAGTGGAGTGGAGGCTGACTCTGGAGGTTGAGTATGGTCAGAAGGCATGAAAGTAGAGGCCTCACTGCCGGGGTGATAGAGGAGGACTAGCAGGAGGGCACCGGCGGAAGGATGAGTGTGAATGTGGCTGGAGTGCACGACAGATGGGTGAGAACCCTTTACAGAACGCATCGCTGCCGAACAGGGAACGGATTCCGCTAAACGTTTACTATAAAAACCCCTGTACTGCCAAAACATGACAGGAAGTCACTGCTTGAGGGTGGGAGACACTTCCACGGAGCTGCCTGCAGCTGGCAAGGGAATGCCTGGGATTCAGTTGTCATGACTCATTCATCCAACACCCAGCCTGAGGTTGGTTTCCTGGAGAGAAGGCTGACTGTGAGTCACCCATGCTCCAGCCAGTAACGCTTGCCCATGTGCCCGTATGCATCTGCAGTGAACTCACTGATTCACTGTGAAAATGGGCAGGAATGGGAAGGAATATTTACAGAATGGCACCTCCCATCAACCCCAAGAGAGGAAAACCAGACTCTGTCCCGCATAAGCACTAGTCCCTGCAAAACCGCATGCCTCACCTTCCTTCAGTGCACACTTTGGATGCTTGTCCTCACTTAAGGATTCTTGTGTGCATTTTCCACAGGCAACCTGTTCAGAAGAGGATACAGGATTTCAAAGGTGTGTTTGAGCAGATGTTGCTGGTCCCAGAGCTTTCTTTCGGACCCCTCTGCAGTGCAGAGGAATTTCTTTTCATTCACTCATTCACTCACTCGCTCACTCATTCATTCATTCATTTTTGGTGGAACAGTAAATTGCCATTTGCCCTTTACAGGTGGGCGGGTGTAGGTGGTGGTGGTGGTACTTTTAGCTTAACTTTTAGCTAGCTGATCTGAGCCGGGGACTGGAATAGCTGTCACTGAGGTGGTCAGGAGAGTTTCCTGATTCCTGCACTGGTTGCTGAAGAGTGTTACTAGAGATGATGGGCAAGCAGATAAACCTCTGCTTTTTGTCCTACCACACTGAGTGGTAAGTTACAATTCAACAGCTGTTTTTCACATCCTGAATTGAGTCATTTTTCTGGCTTTGCGACCTTGCTCTCCTCCAGGAGCCCCTACCAAAGAGGGCATGGATAAGAGCCTGAAGGCTGTATATAGATTGATGAGCCTGTCAGGGAATACCGAAGGCAGCCACAATGTGGACCGGGAAGAAAAGTGTGTGTGACGCATAGCATGCCACACGGGCTTGTTTTCTGTCATTCACGGTAACCAAGTCAGTGTGCCACAAGCCACCTCCCAAGCTGAGGCAGCTTTTGCTCACTTGTGTGGATGGCCCTAAAAGGACATTACTAGAGAGATATCGTCAATCCTTAGCCGGTGTATAGAGTCAATTCGTGTAAGCCAGGGTGTCTGACATCTGAGAGCATTGCTCTTTCTGGTACAGAGGAACTACCGCTTGATCTCTAAGGTGTCCAGAAAATGTTTTGTCAGTGACGGTCACTCGTCAGAGCATGATGCCCCCACCCCTTCACCCCCCAGTGTGCCTGTATTCCTAACACTTAGGAGATTCGGGACCTGGAGGTCGCCCTCACTCGCCTCTCAGGTTTGAGAGCAGCCTGGGCTGCTCGGGACCCAGTCTCAGATTTTAAAATAAATAAAAGTTCAGCGAAGAGCAACATGGACACAGGATCTATAGGTACCCCTCCTACTGTGTAGGTGATGTGTCAGGGTTGAAGGAGCGCGGCTTCCTCTGGATATTCGATTTAATGTGATACCATTTCCTTTCTCAAATAGGTGGCATTACCCAGTCCCTTCTGGCAAAGAGGAAGCAGTTTGCAAAGGATATAAATGACTCTTTCAGAAGCCTGAACGAAAACCTCCAGAGCATTTTCAAAACCCAGCAGAAGTCAAGGTACAGTTGTGCGTGACCCTCTGTAAAATGAGACCTGTACAGCTTTTACTCTTCCTTCCAAAGTCACTCCTGCCTGCCTGCCCGCCATGGTGATCCTGCACAGAGTGGAATTGCTAATGCGACCTACCTAGCACTGCATTTTCTCTGTGAGGTAGTCCTGTTGTTCATTGCTGTGGCAGAAACCCCCCCCCCCCCGCCTTTTATAGAGGTGAGATGTGTTAGCTGCAAGATGGGCAAGAGAAGAGTTTCTCCTCTGTCAGATGACAAGACGGATAGCTTCCAATAAGGAAAGACAGTCTTCTCTGGTCTACCAGACCGTACCCGTTAAGAGGTAATAGGTGCCATCTGGGCTCCTCTTGGTCAGTCATCGTGGCCATGTGGGGAAAGGGTTCTGTGCGCTCTTCGTGTGTGTAAGTGCCATAGGACGAAGGGTATGTTGCCTTCACAACACGGACTTTGGCTCTTCGTGTGTGTGAGTGCCATAGGACGAAGGGTATGTTGCCTTCACAACACGGACTTTGGCTCTCAGAAGCTGTAGGTTAGTTACTCCATAAGGGGGAGCAAAGATGAGTCAGATTCTAAGCCAGGAATGCAGTCTTGGGAAAGGTGTGCTTCAGAGCATCCCAGGGAGAGGGAAGACGTGCAAAATGACATCCCCCCTTAGGTAACCAATTAAAACAGCATTCTTCTGGGATTAGAGTGGGTCACATTTCTGCCTCTCAAGAGACAATTTAATTCATGCCCCCTTTTGTCGTTGGCTCCTGGCTCTTGTGTGACAACGATGAGTGTGTGGTGTCATTGCCTTGGCCTCACATAGTGTGAGGGTGCTCAGGAATCATTACTGTGTTTTACAGGCAGGAGCTTCACTCCATACACTCCCAGATGTTTGAGTCCCTGTATCAGAAGTGGCTGGGCGATGTGGTGAGAGCAAGGGAGCAAGAAGAACGCCTCAATGTGAGTGTTGCTCTTAGCTTGGAATAGGTCCTCTGAGTCCCTTTCCACAGTGGCAGGGCTTCAGTGCAGCAGGTCTCAAGGGAAAGGGACGGGACACAAGGAGGGTGATGGATATGGCCTGGAGAGACTAGCTGTCCTCTCTGGCTTGCTCCCTTTGTCTGTGCTGGGGTGGTGTAGTCATGGGTGAGGGGCCAGCATGGTGGGCGGGTGAGCAGGGACTGCATGGTCAGTGCAGGAGAAGGTATGGGCTTGTGTGCTCAGAGGTTGCCCTTGGTGATCCACACACAGTGCAGATGCCAAACAGTGCAGGAGGGGTGGGGGTGGGGAGTCCCAGTCTGCCTTCTGACACAGTGATCATGGAGGCAAAGTGAGAGCAGCCAGTGTGGCTGGGACAGAGCAGAGCAGGGAGAGGCTTAGCGTTCATGGACACCGAGTAGTGCTGTCTTTGAGGGGTCTTTCATCCCGATGGAGGACAGAGCTGTACTCCCAAAGGCCCTGCTTTCCAAAGGCCCTGCCTTCCAAAGGCCCTGCCTTCCAAAGGCCCTGCCTTCCAAAGGCCCTGCCTTCCAAAGGCCCTGCCTTCCAAAGGTGGGGAAGCAGCACCTGGACTCAGATGCTGTCATAGTCCTGACACTGGCACCTTGGGAAAGCTCAGGAGAACAATTAACCCCCCTGCCTCAGTTTCCTAGGAGTCAAAGCAGACCTGTGAAGAATCCGTCCGTACCTTTCTAGATCTTGTGTATTGAGTGCTTGCATTTTTGACATGTTGCTTCAGAATGTGTGGCCTCGTGAGATGATGTATGTTTGCCATTCATCTTCCCTGCCCTTCTTATTTGGTTGATAATGTAGTTGACAGAATGTCACAATCTGGGGCATGGCTGACTGATGAGGAAAGTTTGGTCAGAACTCTCTCTCTCTCCCTCGTTTTCTCTAGTTCTCCCCCTCTCTGACTCTCTGTCTCTCTCTGTCTCTGTCTCTGTCTCTCTCTCTCTCTCTGTCTGTCTGTCCTGCTTTCTTGGAAAGGAGGGTTTCCTTGGAAGCTAATGTGTTCTCATCATATTAAAACATATTTTATGAAAACAAAGAAATGCTGGGAACGTAAAATTCTGGTGAGGTAGGAAGCCACAGATTAGGTGGGTCTTATTGATAATTTTAAAATGGTTATTTCATAGGATTTCTGCACAAGCGTGGCAAGACTGACACTGGTCAGATCGTGTTATGTTGCTTTTGGCATTGGAGGCCATGGCTTCAGACTTGTTCATCATGAATGTCAGAGAACAAAGCATGATGGGAAGGAATTCCTGTAAGCGGCAGGGTTCAGTGTTCAGTTTTACTGACATTTTTTCATTGGTTTCCTCTGTTTCAGCTTATAGCTCAGCAGCAGGTGAAGGTGTTGCAGAAAGCTGTAGAGGATCATGAAACCAAGATGGAGAACGCTAAAGATATGTGTGACACATTTTTGAAGGTCTGGTAGATTGCACTTGTTGACAGAACACACCCTTATGTCTTACCATGTGTCTGTTACGAGCAGAAGACAGATTGGCCCTTTCTCAATTTGAGGGAGAAAAAGAATTAGTTTTGAAAACTGTGATCACATTCTCTCTGGGATATTTTCCCCACACACAGCAGAAATGCTGAGGTTTGCTTAGCCTGGGAAACTGACGACAGTGTTGTGGACCATGTTCTAGCACGGCTGCTGGTGACTGGAAGTTTGCTTATAAAGGAGCACAGTGCATCACAGTGATGAGTTATTGACCTCTAGTGACATTTCGATGGAAATTAGCAAGTCTGGGGATCCTTCTGGTGTTCTTTGACTTGTTTTGATTGGACGGCTCGGGTCAGTGATGAGCAAAGGGCAAGGACAGTTTTTACTTTCTTCCATGTTGAGTGTTTTGCAGTCTTCAGACATTAGAATTACACTTGAGTATTGGCGGTCATGTATTTCACAGCTCTACAGCTGATGTGGGGACTGGAAGAGTTGGTAGAGGATTAACCCGCTTTGAATTGAGAGCATAGAACCGGCAACTGTACCTCGCTGAAGCTCCAGGCCCTAAGTGACGCCTGTACACCCAGGAGTTGAAGCAGCCCTTCAGCGGGAATTCCTTTTGATGCTCTCATTAAAATACCCTATGAAATACCTCTCCTCAGATCTGATTCAGATGCCTTATCTAAAGTGCTCAGTGTATCATAGTAAATTAAGTGTTTTCCGGGTGCCAGCGAGAAGCTAGGTCTGTTTTTGCTGAGCAAGCATGCGTTCACCAGTTAATACCCAGGTGGCTACCCCTAGCAGCCACGTGCACTCCGGGCATGGCAAACTCTGCCTATAACCCCAGCGAGGTGAGGCTAGAGACACAAGGATCCCTGGGGCTTGTGTGACCACCAGTACAGGCAAATTGGAAAACCCTGTGTTTAGTGAGATACCCTGCCTCAAGGAGTAATGTGGTGAGCTGTTCAGGATGGTGCTGCCACACACTAGCACACGTGTGTGCATGCAAACACGTCCACGTGAAGGGAATCGCTTTGAGTTTTCTGTGACATCTGGTCTCCACACTGAAACAGACATACGTGCACACCCACCTGCACACACCAAGCACACAGAAAAGTAAAACTGAATTTTCAAGGCCTTCAGATCCACACACACATATGGAGCCCCAATGCAGCTGGATACTTCTTGGGAACTGGCTGGAAGAACCTGTCAGATAGGCTTGCATCTAACTGTGAGTGCTCAATGTGAGCAGCACCACATAGGAAGCCTTGTGACTGGATATCTCTGGCTTCCCCAGATGATCCATGCCCTTCTGCCCAGACCCTTCTGCCCCTGCGTCTCTGTACACTGCTCTCTGCTCCTCCACCCAGGCTTCCCTCCTGTCCCCGTCCTCCGCTCTGCCTCTGAGGGACTATTTTCGTCAAACATGGCGTTTTCTTTTCAAGATTTCCCAGTGGCCTTCCTTCTTAATGCTCTGTTTCCCGTGTCCTCTGCCCACCCACCCAACCACCCACCCATCACCTCCTCACACCCATCACCTACACACACACACACACACACACACACACACACACACACACACACTCACTGTCTTGAAAGCTTGTGCTGGCTGCTTGCTTCCTTCTGTCCCTCTTCCCTCCTCCCAGTGAAGCAGCTTCCCTTGAAGTGAGTCCTGTTCCTTGCCCTTGCTTTGCGTCTGCTCTTTGCCCACAAAGCTTCCTGTGCCTTGTCTTCCCCTAAGGACACCCTATGTGTTTACTGCTTGACGTCACCATTTGCGTCCTTTTCAGCGTCAAGCCCAGCAAGCTCCATTCACATACTTATTTTCAGCTGGTGTGCAGGGTGTCTGTTCCTAAGATGTCTGGGCCCTGGTAATAGGGCAGAGACTGGACAGGTGTTAAGAGCCGGTTTTCCCTGCCGGCCTGGTCCCACCGCCTCGCCAGCCCCAAATAACACACAGAGACGCTGTATTAGATATAATTCTGTTGGCCAGTTACTAGCATTTCTTATCGGCTAGCACTGTCTTAAATACTATCCCATTTCTATTCACCTAAGCATTTCCACGTGGTCTCCTCTTACCGGACAGAGGCCCCGGCGTTCTGCTCTCTCCATCCTCCATCTTGAATCTCTTCCCTACTCCTTCCTCTCCCCTCCTGGTCTCCTAGACCCACCTATCTTGCTTTCCTATTGGCCAACAGGGCTTTATTCGTTAACCAAGACGAGCAACATATTTACAGAATGACGTCTCCCATCATCTCCTCTTTTCTGTCTGAAGTAAAAAAAGGGCTTTTAACCTTAACATAGCAAGATATATTATATAGCAAAACAGTTATCAAACAAGAACCATAGTTAGCAATATTAAGTTTGTTAACATCTAGCAAGATTTAAAGAAAATATTTCACCATCTACCCTATCTTTGTGAGTCTAAAGTCTTACATGTAACTTATCTTTAATCCTAACTATAACCTTAACTATCTGTCTTCAGTTCCATCAAAGACCACAGAAGGATAACATATAAACTCTAGAAATGACAGAGACAACTCACTGCCCGGTCAGGCACCCGAAGTGCTTCTGTAATGTTCCATCTTCAGCCTATAGGCCATAGTGTGTCTAGCACACTCCTCAGCCAAGCAGGAAACTAAACTGTCTTTATCTTCTTCTGGCCACCAGCCTTTTATCTGGTAAACAACAACATTGCTAAAATGAAGGTCACGGCCCTATTAGCCGTGGTCTATCCAAGATGGCAGGGTACGTTTGCCGCCAGAACTGAGAGCTGTGCTCAGTGCCTTGGTCTACGCTGCCATCCACCAGCATGCTGCCGGCTTGGCGATGTGGCCACTGCCATTGCCGGCCCTCGTACACACCGTTAAGTTCTTTGGAGAGGTCTTTAAAAGACTTGTGGGGTTTGTTTGTTTATTTGTTTTGTTTTGTTTTTTTGTTTTTCCTTTATGCTGAGTCAGAAATCCTCCCTTAAAGGAGCAGTGAATACTTGTGCTTGTCTACAGCTAAACAGAGCCCAACTGAGAAAAATGTTGTTACCAAGAAGCCTTACTTGTTGGCTCTGTTTTTTTTTTTTTTTTTTTTTTTTTTTATAGTTAGTTACTTTGTTTATTTGTAAAACCCATTATTAGGTTTTTGTTAAGTTTGAAGTGAAAGTTCTCATCCCCATGTTGGGTAACTTTAGTTTCGAGCAGGTTTTCCTGCTGGCCTGGTCCCGGTGGTGGGGCGTGGGGGGAGTCCTACACATTATGGGGAGGGGGCTGCATCTCCTTTTCCATATCTGCTCCCCGTGACTTTTTAACTGATCCTCCACCCATTTTCTGAGATGTGTGTCCTAGCTGTCCGTGTCCCACAATGATACCGCCTTAAAATGTGTCACTGGAAATTTTTGTGGGGTGGTCATTTAACGTGCTCAAATTCGCCACTGTTCTTAAGTTTAAATCATGACAAACATCCTTTGGATATGGAAAGTCGGTTCCTTTAAAATGAAATGGGGTAAGGTGTCAAGCCAGAGGGCTTCAGGCTCAAGTAGACTTTCTGTTTGTTTGTTGGTTTTTGTCGTTTTTTTTTCTTTTTTTCAGAAAGCCAAGGACTTGAGTGAACAACGCAAAGCGTTTATTGGTGGTGAAAGAAGTGAAGTGAGGAAGGAAATCTTCAAGGCGCAGGACAGAGTTATCATGGAAAGGGTAAGTCGCATGTCTGTAATGCTTGCTGTGTGCCTCGGGGTGGCTTCCTGTGGGCAGAGATGGAATAGTGATTCCCCAACTCTCCATTTTCACACAGCAAGAGCAAGATGTGTCTGTTGTTGAAACGTACCTTCAATCCCTGGTCCTTGACTGCCCCGAAGAAACCATCTGAAGCTCACGCAAAGATGCACAGGGAGCATTGGCCTTGCTGACAGGATATTCCTAGTGGTCGATGCAGCTCCTTTCTCTTTACTTTGCTTGTTAGAAATAAGACTGGGGCTCTGTTCACCATGAACTGAACCCCCAACAGTTCTGTGAGTAGCAACAGTTAAGTGTGGATCCTTGGCCCCTGACAGCAAGGGAGGTACATTCTCCCACCAGTGGCAGTTACATTTTGGAAGCAAATAATGTCATTTGGTTTTACGATTGGCTTCTTTGGTTCCCCTTCACTTCCGCAAAGTCAGTGTTACTTTACTCATTTCGGGAAGAAATAAATAACGACGGGATCCCTTAATCTGTGCATGCTTTTATTATTCATGATGTCACAGAGCCAAGGCCTTTGCAAATGGGCCTTTACTGGAAATCCAACCCAACATGTTCCCTCAGACTTAACTGCACACGACTCTGGTTTTCGCACTCAGATGTGCTAAACGGTTTACACGATTCCCACTGCAGAGCCAGATCTGAAAGCCTTGGGTTTGAGCTTGCGGTGGGGCTGTGGCTTTTCCCAAAGACAGCCAGACTCGTTTCCAGGCTGTATTCAGCACTGGTGGAAAGGTACCTGCCCTTACCTTTGGTCAAAAACATTTATCAGTGAACATCTGTATAATAATAAGCATTTGCAGTTTCAGTATTTTACAATGGCTGTTGTTTTCCCGGAGCATTTTCTAGTATTCAGAGTTTAATTTTCATCAAGTAATTCTGCACGTATGTGTATGTTTGTCTAACTCCTGAGTCATTCTTTCGCTTTTTTCCTGTGATGTATTTTTTGTTTTCATGAATCCTTAGAATCTGTGTTCAGATTTGATGTTCATTTTCATGGGTGTGTACTTGATGAGTCTTTGTGAGCTTACTCCAAGTGTGTGTTGGTAGCCATGAAGGCTGGGAGAGGGGCTCAGTTCCAGTCTCCAGGTCCCATAACACCAGAACTCACTCCCAAGGTCTGTCCTCTGACCGATGTGTGCCCCCACCCTAGTGTGGTGATACAGTATTTGTGATTTATTAAAGCTTGGCTGAGGGTACAGAAAGCAAAGCCAGCCACAAGCCATAGAGCCAGGAAATGGTGCTATACACCTTTGATCT